ACACCATAAATCTCTGCTAAATAGCTCTATCCCATCTATGGCAAAGTTGCTGCAAACTGTAAAATGGGCAGACTCTTTAATATGGTGGAGGAACACTGCAGGAGTAGCATGGTGTGATGGGGAATAATTAGCTTTATTTACAATATTACAATAATACCCAAAGCTAGCATCTTATACTGCTGCATAAAATCCTTCCACGGTCATCCTTCTATCTGAAAATACCCCACAAATTAACTTATAATCATGTGATGCACCCAAACTTAGATCACTATCATGATGTTTTCAATGTAGTGGTGATTCAAACTGTGATCTTCCGGATTATGGCATCATGGAGTCTAACAGGTGGGTGCACGATAGTCCAGAGGAACATATAGCCTCCAAAATTATATGAAAGATGAGGGCATTATTATCCCTCTGAAACATCATTACACAGTGTCATCACCTTAATGACCACACTTCAAATCACTACTGACAGCATTAAAGATTATTTTTAATTGTGTATGCCACAAATGACAGTATTTCTGCACTACAGAATGATTTAGGTGCCTCACAAGCCTGTTTATGACAAGCTACAAATTGATCAAAAAATTAATTCACTACAAACCAAATGACTTCAAATTTTTTGATTGAGTCCTAATATGGGACTATATGTATTAGCAATTATAGTGATATAATCCAAAAAGAGATGTATCATGAAAATTGACTGGTGATGACCCAGCTGGTTCAAAACATGTAGCAAATACAGAATAATAAACAAATGTTAATACAGTAACATTGGTTTATTTATTTGAAGATTATTGTGTTGACAGCCATAAAATAGTGTCATATAGGACACACACAACAAAGATGAAGCTGCAAAGTAATGAGAAGTCCACATCTCACCATGAAAGAAGATTTCAGGATTCAGCGTTCTCTGAAAGTGACAAAAGTCACATTTTTCTGAATTCTGTGCTTCAAGAACCTGTTCCATCCCATGGCTACATTAATACAATAACGATGTGTAATATGAAGAAGTGCGCAACTTGTTCTGCATCAGAGACAATAACAACTACTGACATATAGTGCCCTTCTTCCTCCAGGACAATGTAGCACCCCACTGCTTCATGCAAGCCTGGTACAATGTCCTCCTTATTCCCCAGACATATCCCAATGTGATTACTTTTATTTCTATGGATGAAGGAAACACTGCCAAGTCACCAGTTTGATTCCAAGTGCCATTTTTCTCAGCATCAATACACCACAATGTGAACAGTACTGCAACTGGTTATCCATCGAATTGATGGGAGAAGCATATGTCACCAATGCTAGTGATTAATGCTGAGTAAGGGATACCTGCGACTATGTTCTAACATATTGCTTCTGTTGTCTATGTAGAATGTATGGATCCCATTCGGGAAATTTCTTAAAAGTTTCTCACATCATTTTCCTCCATTAACTTTATGACTGAACTGTAGATTTTAAACCCTTCTTGTCCATGCAATATTCCCATTCATATTTTCTTGTACTGGTTAGCAGTGAAATCACAAACATTTATAAATTCATAAAAAAAGAGAGGTAAAGCTATCCCTGTAACAGGCCTTGGAGGCCCACAGGGTTGTGAGATGTTGAGGTTCCCACATTACCTAGACCAGGCATGTCAAACTCAACTTGTACAGAGGGCCACCTCAGCCCTATAAATAATAGTCCAGGGCCACACTTCAAAATAGAAATATACATTAGATTCTGATACAATGAAATTTAATTCTATTTATTATTTAGGAATAATTTCAATATAATTACCTAAAGTCACATATCTTACAGTTTGAAAAAGCAAGAGAATGCCATTTTTGACAAGTATCAAACAACTTTTCAATATGTAAAAAGAGAGATTACAGAAGAAATTATGTTAGAAACAGCAAGAATTTCCTGCAGCCTGCTAATTTATGTCTGCGTGAGACTTCTTGTCTTCTGGTCTGTTGGAAAATTGTCTTTATAAAAAATATTTCTACTCAAATTTTAATATTGATTTTATTATCAATTAGCTCTAAAAGTTGAGAGGCCGCACTTTGTGGCTATGGGGGCCACATGTTTGACACGGCTGACCTAGACAATTGGCTCACAGATGGCAGTGAGGTTGTCAGCCTTACATGCCAGCCATCCTTTACCCCCCAGGAAGATTCCTGGTACTCATTTCAGTTAGACGCTGAGTCAGCCACAGGGCCATAGTGCAGCTGGAAGGATTGGGTCAATTGATAAAAACCACCTCATCCATCTATGCTACCAACATAAGGCAATTAAAATTTCACTTAAATGTTCCACAGTACTGGTAAATAAGACCAGCACTCTACATGCAAGATGTTTAAAACTGCAGGAATTAATCTGTGACACTCTCTGCTTGGGACCAAGTCTCCAGAATGTGCATTTATCTCAGAATTCAAATCAGATTTGGTGAAAACTGTGAAATCCCCATATGTTCATGCATCCTTTATTTTGCTGGCTGATCATTTAATCAAGATGTATTAGATTTCAAATAATTATGGTGCAATGGAATCTTCTCATTAATCACAAGTTTTATTTCATATGTTTTTCATTATACGCATGTACATGTTTCCCACAAATGGTAGGGGGTCTGTCAAACACATATCATACTAAGGACCACTATCTTGAGGGATCTTTTGCAGTGCCGTCTGGTAGAATATGTTCTGGAACAATTCTATTGCATCCAAAACATCAGTACAGGTCTACCAAACTACACAGTGTCAAATCCCAGAAAATAGAATTCCATATTTACTGTACTGAGATCCTTAAATCCAACTCTAAACAAATTAATCTCATGAACAAGGAAATTCCCTTATGACAGCTAAAATTCAAATCACTGCGTAAGGTTGGATGACATATAATTCATCAGAGTTGACTGTTACAAAGTGTCAAATTTGCAATTTCTGTTAGACAAAGACTTAATCTCTTGTGAAGGCTGCAATGAGCAATGGAAAGTATATATTAAAGAAGTTGTAAAAAATATAACTTCACTTAATTTTAGTTCTGCTGCACATCAGTTTTTAATACACTATTGTAAAAAACCTAATACACTTCTTACACAGCTGTTTATAACATAATTTATAATGACTTTTTGTATGAGAGAATGTGTATACTGTAAATTAGGTTCGCATTACTGTTTCAATTGATCAAAAAATCTGTCAACAAATTAAGGAAATAATATTTGCATTTGCAAAAATCTGACATATGCCTTGTAGAAAGTATTTTGGATTTGAAAAACTTCTTAGATGACAAACCTAACAGAATGGGTTAACTCTTCTGTAGAGCATGGAGCTATCAATATAATATAAGTTCAGACACACTCCATTATATTCTTGCACTGTTTCTTTAACCTTTGAATCAACAGGTAGAGAAAGACATACCACTACTGTTATGTAACTTTGTTCTTGCAATATTGAATAATACTTCTGCTTCTGATATACCAGTCCCTACATCTGAATAACCTTACAAAGGCAATTAATCAATGCAGCCAGAAATTATTTCTTATGTACATGACATCAGACCTATCCTCATGGAATTCCACTATGATTTCAGCATTTTTTCTTAATTTTTCGTAATTGAAAGTTTCTAAATCTAATGAAGTGCGTATGTTTCCATGACCTATAGTACTTTTTCCACACTAGTATTATTAATATTTACACGTAAGACATAAACTGAACATTACACTTTCCAAACACAATCACCATGCATAAAAACTGTTCACAAAATTGCAAAAGTTTATACAGCCCACAAAGCTCTGTAATTGTTTTAAAATATTTGTCACTTTCATGAAAACCAAAGAGATAAATATAAAAGGGAAGAAGCAGTGGTAGACCTCTTTGGGTGACAAAGTTAAAGATAATTTCATGATACACATCAGAAAAAAAAATGGTACAAAATGTAATAAAAATGCTGTCATAAAGAAATCGCTCAAAATAGAAATTATCTCCAAACTAGAGGTTCTATGCCATGCATACAAAATTTCTAAGGCGACTGAAAACATGTATCAAGTTCCCATATATAAGTCCATTTTACATTAATGTCAAGTAACTTCTGTTTTGCTTTTAACTTTTCGATATATTAGCACACTGAAGATGAAAAAATCTTAGCTGAATGTTTTATTTAAATTCCTCACAGAATTGTATAACTTCTAGACCATTTTTAGAAAACAATCTGCTGTGGATAATTTCACCATAGCGTATAAAATGTCTGTCTGGCCATCAGTTTCAAAATAAATGTTATATTAATGTTAAAAGTATCCTACTGTAGATGAATGACTATAACAGTTGTGGTCTACAATACAAATTATAATTAAAAACAAATGTGACATACCAACAGCATACACAGCAATGCCAGTAAAATATTCATTAAATCTTACATATAAGTGGTATAGTGCATAAGGTCTGTCAATAAGACAGCTATTGACAGTTAACCACCGAGGTGAATAAATTTATTAACTGTATATGTCAGAGTAAAATAATGTTACGTAATTTCTCACATACTAATAACCTTATACTACCACTTCATTTAGTCTTGAACTTGAACAGCCAAGAGCTAAATATCTGACCTTGACTGGTTATTTATCAACAACTCGGTTAAACAAATGTGATCCACCAACCAAAAACCCAACTAACAAACACTTAAGGCTTAAAATTAAAATGTATCAATTAATTCGCATGTAAACAACAACAAATGGTACAGATCTTTCAAAATAAATAGTCTCTTTTCCCACGAGTTCCACACAGGTGTCATTCGCGCGATTCAGTAAAGATGAAACGATTAACTGCGTACTTCCTCAATAGCATAAAGAATAACATCTGATACCTCTGCTAACACTGTCAGGTATTCCTCGTCTCGCACCAGCATCTCGCTTTACAATAAACAACACTGAACACAAAAATTTAGGCTAGTTTCCTTCGTGGCTTGTTTATGTTAGGGCAACAACTGTCCTCATAATAAAAACAATCAATGTTGCAATTGCTTACTTTACTAGTTGCATCCGATACTTCTCGCATGATCTGTTCGAAGGCAGCTGTTTCTTCTGCTTGCTTCTGAGTGTGTAACGCAATCTTCTCACTAAATTTTCTTGGGTTCGCCATGATGGCTGCTTTAGTTTTGACTTGCAAGGCAAGGCAAATAGCCAATGAAAACCTATTGACACAGGTCTCCACGCCATCTGTTGGTACGTCTTCACTAACATGGCCACCTCTAATACTCGTAGAAAAACACGGTAGTGATTGCTTTAATCATGTTCGTCTTCATTTGCAGAAAATGTAACTTAAAACATAAATTTAAGGTGGAATACAAACTTCACCTTTGAATCATATATACGCCTAAATCATCTAGACGCCTCTAAGGCAGTACTGATATGAGTTACACACTCTTTACTTGATTTAGAGTAGTAATAATAGGAATTATACAGTCTTTACTGACAGTCTTCCACGGTAATTAGGTATTTTCCTTTCATTTCTTGGGTGATTACATGCTGTGGCTGCGGGTAGTGTTGCCGACGTTTCGAAGGTATATGACGCCTCCATCTTCAGATTTTAAATGTGTACGAGGGGCAAGTTTCTGCGTGTATATAGGTGTATGTTTTGAAAAACAACGAAAGGAAAATAGTGTCAGTGCCCCGCCCGGGTCAATGTTTACAATGGACTTTACAAGATGTACGCATTCTGGCCCGCTTCCTGCCTTATCCAACTTCACCGGTCCACTATCCCTACCATCCCTACCAATCCATACTGGCCAACACTCCACCCGCGGTGGTTCTTTGCAGGACATAAACCTGTTTACAAACAAAGCCTAGGGCATGTACCTAACAATTTATATCCTCTTCCAAAAAAAAAAGAAAAGAAAGAAAGAAAGAAAGAAAAAGAAGAAGAAAGTATTAAGCGCCAACATTAAATGATTCCCCAGGAAGAACTAATTAAATCATTGATGACTTATGACTGCCACACGCGGTAATATCTAGCGACATTCGTCTGTTGAAACTGCAGCGCCTGCAAAACAGAGTTCTCCGTGCTACTTAAAACTAACAGGAGCATACCGATTAGCGATTTACATGCGGCACTCAAAATGCCATACATATATGATTACATAACTGCCTTATGTAGAGAGAAGCCATCCAAAATCATCAGAATTTATGGAGAAGCCATGTACAAGAACTACGTGTACAATATATTCAAACATAGCGGTGGGCAGGCCTACGACTATTCAAGGGTCTATCTTCCATTCAGAATAGTGTAAAATTGTGCGTACTACAAAGAAATTATTACGTGTGTATATTACTAATGTAGTGATAAATTGTATATAGTGTACATATATGACTATGCCAGGGCGCGCTATAGGAGTGCAAGGAAAACTGTCTTCTATTGCCAGCAGCTCTGCTTTAAATACACAGATACCCACCCACCGTATATACACTTCAACTCTGAAGATGGAGGCAGCATCTACCAAGGAAATGCCGGTAACATTACTGATATCCACACAGTGTAATCACCCAAGAAATTTAAATAAAGTTGCAAATCCTATATGACAATATACATATAATAAAGTACGAGTACATTATAATGACAATATGAACTGAGCATGCCATGCGAGTGTGCTGTATAAGTACAGCAAATTTATTACTATGTGCGCAGAACAGAACTTAAATGCTTTACCCTATTAGTTCAACAGAATCTTACTACCAATTAAAGAGTATTTACTGTAATAATTCTAGTGGTACTAGTATGACAAGCAACTGAATACACAGTCTTTCTTAAGAAGTCGATAGTTGATTAAATAATTCCCCAGCAGTACAACGCATGCAGTAACAGGAGAAAAACACAACACAGAACACGATACACAAATATATGTAGGAAGAATGCTCACATAAAAGAGGATCGGCGTAATTCGCGTGTTTGAGTGCGACGTAGGAAGAATCCTGAAAAGTTTTATTATTTAGAATTCATTGTCCTATATGACGAATACAGATTTTAGTCATTTTAGAATGACGACATCATGGCATGCAATACCATAGTTTAACGTGCATAAAGACACCTGAGGATGGCACATTAGTGCTGAAACGTGTAGTGTGGAAGTGAAGAATAAGGTGAAAAATTGTATGCACTGTAAGATGGTCAGCATAAACCATGGAAATAATTCCCCGCTTCTACGAAACCTGAAAATTCGTTATATTCTTCACTAAAGTTTCTCGTTGAGCTCGTTGAGGCCTATCATAAGATAAATTAATTAAATCTAATCAACATTCTCTGTTCTTCCAATATTTGCTTAATATTGTCCTTTAATTAGGCTTGTGTCTCGAAAGTGATCTCTGCCCTTCTGACTTGTGGATTAAGATTTCGTACCAATTTTTCATCACTCCCGTCCATGTTACGTGTCCCGCTCAGCTTATCCTCCCAGTCTGATCGCCCATAAATATTTGGAGGACCGTGCGAGGAATTTTGTAATTTAGAATTTCGAGATTTGAATGCCTCGTGCGTTGCATTTGTCTTAACGTTTCGTTTTGCATCAAACTCACTCTGCTCAAGGTTAGCTAGGCGGAAAGAGGGTTATTTCATGTTATCGCCCGCATAAAGGAACTTTAAGATGCACTCAGACGAGCAAGACGCCATGTCCTCACACGAGTTGCAAAGTGTATTGATGTTGACGATGGAATTTTCGAAAAGCTGCTATACTATGTGAACTGTACCAACTTTTTCACTTGAACTATAAATACCGGTACTAGAAGCAATACGTAATATCTCTTTCTTGTCAACAATTTTGGAGCCGTACAGTGAAATAGCTCTGTCTCAGTAACCATCTGGAATAGGACACATATACATATAAACTGTTTTGCTTAGAATGACCGATACTACGACCTCCCAGAATATTGACCTTTCCTCCTTGGACATTCTGTATAATCGTCTGTTTGTTCAGTGTTATTTATTATTGTTAGCCAGATAGGTATATTGAATGTCGATGGAAACATTGTCATCGAGTAGCGGTAGTTTTTTCTGATGCAGCGATGCTAATAATATAATAGAAATATGTATACTCTTGACTCTTTCCTTGCGTGAAATACACATACGCTAATCTTTTTTAATCGTGTATAAAGAAAATTGCCTAGTCAATGTCCATCCGGTCTGCCATCTGGGAAGAAGAGGTAGTATTAATACAAGAAGCACGGATACGAAAGAGATTTGTTTGATATTCCCTGGCATCATGAAAAGGTCGGTATGTGTGTTATGCGTTCGACGATAGCGGGTTCTAAAAAGATAATGTTAGTAAGAGAAGTAAGTGAAGATCGGCAAAGATGGCTGTATCAGTGTATAGGAGGGAAGTGGTCAGTGGTCAATGGATAAAAAGAGACCGGTTTTATTACTGTTCTATGATCGGCATGACTTATAGATCAGTATATAATGCTTCATCCTCTCGAAACGTAACTTCGAATGCAGGAGTGCGTGTAGGAAAGATGGCACAGAACTTCATAAATGAAAGGTGTTCTCTAATAAACAAAACTAAGTGTATGCAAAGGTACTGTGTAAATTCTTTTCATGTGGAAGGGAGCCATGATAGGAAAGCTATACAATCAAGAAATAACCAAACAAGAAATCCAAATATTACAGGCATAAGCCGGTGGTACTCTCTTGGCAGAGGACAGCCAATAGAAAATTTGCCAAGTCTGATGAACTTCCCAGAAATAGTGTGGCCTACTGTTATTAAGACATTTAGGAACTGGATACTGACTAATATCATAATTAAACCATATTTTGATCAAGAATTTGGTCTTCCAGATTTTATACTTGGATCAAAGCAGGTATATCCAGCAGTGTTTTATTTGGCGTTACAGTCTCATGTCTTTATAAGTTTATGATAGGATATAAGCCCACGTGAACAGGAGGGATTAAATTTTGTAGTTCACTCCAGATTTATGTTGCTTCTGATTCTGTTGTAGGACTTCAGTGCTCAGAGATGTGCTCAGTTTAAGAAACTTTAGTTATAAGTTTTTTTCACACTGGAAACCTCAGTAAATGAACCATTTTACATTGTCAAATTAGTAAATAATTTAGCATTATTTAGCTCATGTGAGCCCATGTATTGTTTTCATTATGATCTAAAGCCATATATTGGATCATTCATACTATAAATGCTTGTAAGCTGAAGAAAGGCAACATGTGAAAATGTGCAGTAATTAATACAACTGATCTGCATCTTTGATAAATGAATGTTAATATATCATGAATAATAACGAGACTATACCAGTGTGTCTGTGTGTTCATAATATGAGAATGGCCAGACCTGATTATGGAAGACTTAAAAGAGAATTACTGAATGCAACCAAGGTATGCCTCCAGATGGCCTGAGTTTGAGTTTAGGAGCTTCCAAATGTATATGGCGTGGTTCAGTGGTTAGTATTCCAACATTATATTCAGTATGGTCTGGGATCAGTTCTGAGCCTGAATGATGGCTGTGTTGATTGATGGTCATGTAAAGGATTTTTTTTTTTAATTTGCTTAGTCGGGGGTGGAGTCCAACTGGGTCCACTTGGCACGGCGGCCATCGATTAGCCTATTGTAGCCTACCCCGGGTGATTATGGTGATGGAGAATTTGGTGGAATGAAGATTGGCAGGGGAAACTGAAGTACTCGGAGAAAACCTGCCCCAGCGTTACTTTTTCCACCGTAAATCTCACTTGATCAGACCCGCAATCGAACCCGGGCCACCGCGGTGGGAAGCCCGTAACTAACTGCTTGACCTGTGGTGCGGCCATTTGATGGTCATGTAAGTGTATTTAGTTCCTCTAAGCAGACACTGGGATTGGTCTTTAAAATAGGCCATGACCATCTCCAAAGTCTTCCCGAATCATAATTCAGAGTTATCGTCTCATTTGATGCATGTATGCAGTTGAGAAAGGATCATTACATAAAGAAGACAAATTTTAGATCTTGCAGGCTTGTATTGTGAATTACAGCAGAATGGTTAATGAAATTCCATACTCACAAGTTGTTAGGATGAGAGAGCTTTATTATCAGATTGTATGGAGCTTATATTGGTTTTGCTGGTGTGTTGGGGAAGGGTGAGGGACCAATTTTAGTTCACATGACTGTACCTATGTGGTTCCATGTGGTATTGTGGTAGTTCTCTGATGTTTTAGAGGAATGTAGTGTTATCAGCTTCAGCATCTCCAAAACAATGATAAACTTTTACCAGGCTATACAGTGTCACATCCCAGAAGAGTGTATTATTCAGGTTTTTTATGTGTTTGTGTTTACTTTAATATATATGATTGATGCATCCTATAGGTGTTAGTAATTAAGATATTAGATAAGTCAGAGTACAGTATATCTCATTAAGGACATACATAGAAATAAAGTACAGTTACAGATATGTGTCCCAAGAGCTAAATACACTACAGTATGCTAACTTACATTACTAATCATTTCTGAGCAATTATACAGTATATTTTGAAATAACAAAAACTATATTACATGCAAAATATATTACAAAATAAATAACTGGGCCATCACATACCTCAGGCAGACTACCTGGTGTCCAGGCATTAGTAACTTCTCTGTGAAGATTATGTTTGTCATCTTGTATTGATTGTTGTCAGTTATAAATGTTACCAGATGAACTCCACAAAGCTGGTTCCTGTTTGAGGGGCCAGTAGTAGTTCAGGCCTCTCAAAAAATTCCCAGCATTTTATGGAAAACTAGAAGGTATATTACTGGGGAATTCCATGTCAGGGGTAACATTTTCATAACCATCACTGATTGTGACAGTATTTGGAAGTTTATTGGACTGAGCTGCATGAAATTTTATGTTCCTGTGTGCATTAATTGCAGAGATACAGCATTTTGAAATTTTATGTTTTACTTCAATTTTCCCTTGTTCTGATTCATTAACATGCCTATACCTCTGGTTCTAATTAAGATAGAGGACTCATTCTTGTCTTTATTGAAAACTCTTGTTAAGTGGGGCTTCCATTTGATAGGGCACATTAATACTGTCACGTGCTGCCTGAAAGCTGGACTATAAGTCATCCATCACTAGTCAACAGCTAGCAATTCCTAGGCAGTGATGCTTGGGAAATCGTTGCCTCACCAGGTATTAGAATGATCAATTCAAGGGCAATGAGGTGGACAAAGCATGTAGCATGCATAGGAGAGGAGTGCATACAAGGTCTTGGTAGGCAAAGCTGAAGTAGAGGGACCATTATGAAGGCCTAGTCATAGGTGGGAGAATAATATGGCTGAGAGAAATAGGGTGTGTCAGGTGTGGACTGGATTCATTTGGCTTAGAACAGGGAGCAGTAGTAGGCTGTTGTAATGCTGTAATGAACTTTTGGTTTCATAAAATGTTGGGAATTTCTTGAGTATCTGAGCACCTGTTTTCCTCTCAGGAAAGACTCAGCTCCATGCAGCTGGTTGGTTAATAAAAGAAACACTTCATATTTATCACTTACTCATCACACTCTTTAGGTCTACAAAATTTTATGACAGCTGCTGTGTTTGTCATGGAATGGCCCTGCTATGTTCACACTGGTCCATTTGCTGAGCCAGATGAATGCATTCCACATCCAACCTACTGTAATGTCTTTAGTATGTAGTATTTACATCCAGGTCTTTCAAATGATATAATCTCATCATTTTTTTTTCTACCAGAACTTTGTATGTACACCTTCCCATGCATGCTAGAAGCTCTTCCCATCTGACCCCCCTTTTTATAAATGTTATCAGAGCTAATAAACATTCAGTGACTTTGAGGTAACATATGGAATTTCTTAAATCATTTTCCAAATGATTCTTTTTTTGAGCACATGCCATGTTTTCTAATGCCTTTTGTAGAAGGAATATGTTTTGCCCTTGGTATAATATCATGTCATACATGACTGAGTGGAATCATGAAAATATGGTTTTACTAGCTCTTATTCCCTTGAGATACATATGTGTACTATCTATTGAGCTATATTACAATGCAAAACAAACTGATAAACAGTAATTTTCAGGCAGTGGAGTATGTCTCAGGGTGTTTATCAAGAGGAGACTTTGCAGCTTTGGAGAATCTGGTAACACAAGACGCATTAATAGAAATAAAAAGGAACATATCCACCTTTACGCTACATCAGCGACAAGAACTGGCTCTTTCAAAGGAAGATATTTACTTCTGCTTTCCATATGAAATTGGAATTATGTCCAGTGATAATGAGAGTAAGTTTGTTAGGGTAAGGTTGAACTGACCTTTTAAAGCACAGCAGTTGCTGTATGTACCACCTGCTTTAATATTACAAATGTCTGTCTTTTTCCCACAGACTCTTAGGTGTTCTGTGCGATTTGCAGAATAAACAGCAGGAAATGAAGTGTTAAATACCATTTACTCCAAATTATCTATGTGCAGATTGTCTGGTTCGTGCCTTATCTCTGCACTGTTTTAGAAGCCTTTGCAACCCAGCAGAGTGCCTATTAATTCTGCTTAATTGGATAGTTACAGGAACCAAAACTCCATATTCTCTGAAATCTTTATATGTAACCTCTTGTAATTCTGTATCATTGTGCATAATAGAGTACTGTAGTTCATTAGTGTAGCACTGAGTAAAGATTTATAAGGCTTCCATTTTGGGATGTGACATTATGTTGATAACTTTATGTATCCAGCAGTCACATGGACAGCACACCTGCACGATTGTATATCAGGGGTCAAGTGATAGCTTAATATTTCTTTAGGGTAATGACTTGGAAACAAACCTCAATGTGTAGACCATTGAGAGGGAACTTGTGGCAATTGTTTGCCATGTAAGCAGTCCGTATATATTGTGGAAGGAAATTTACAATTGTGACATCATTTTTCAAATGAATGACACAAGCTTAAGGATAATGAGATTGAAATTAAAATTAGAGGAATTTGAATATACTATGGGGTTTTATGTAGTTTTGTCATTACTCCGATGACAACCCACTTCTTCGGAACAGTTTGTTGGTCCTGAAAAGGACCGTGGTTGCTGAGATGTTTGATTGGTGAGGTAGCGCGCCGGTAGAGAGAGAGGTTAGTTGCGGTGGTTTGACTGGCCACAGCACAGCCGTTGCTGGAGGTTGCTTGATCGCCGTGCGGCAGGCGAGTTGAAGTTGCGTGGTCGTGCAGCGCGGTTGCAGGAGTGATGAGGCAGTGGCTACACCAGATGCCCAGTGGGTCAGACAGGGACACGACCACTGGCGAGTCCAGGCGAGGTGCCCCAGTGCGTCGGGTGTGAGAGCCGGAGGGCCGAGGCAGTCGTGCCTGGTGCAGCCTGCCGATGCCTCCGAAGACCGAGCGCTGGCGACGAAGCCTGCTGGCTGATGTTGCTTGAGTGTGGCTTGATCGTAGACTGAAGTCAGACTGATCCTGCCAGTTTGCGGCTGCTCCTTTTTATACACTGCTCTGTGGGTGGAGCGAAACTTGAAATTGAGGAGGAAGAATTTGCAGGGCGTTGATTGGCTAGCGCGTGTGATAATGTAGATATGGGGCTAGCAGCGAGCGCAGTATAAATGCGAACGTTTGGAGCAATTTGATTGGTTAGCGCGCGTGATGGTGAAAAGTGATGTGAAGAGTGTGCGTTGCAGAAAATACGTGATAATGTGGGATGTTCCCACAATACAATCATATACAAGAATATAGACCAGTGATGGATAATAATATATGGAGGATAGGATACAATGAAGAGAGAAACACATTACTGAAAGGAGAAGGTATTATAAGATTTATCAAGTCACAGAGAATAAGATGGTTGGGGCATGTCAAAAGAATGGAAGATAATGCAATGCCAAATAAAATGTTAAAAGGAAGGCTGTATTCCAAAAAGAAGAAAAGGAAGACCCAGGATGAGATGGCTAGATGATGTTGAGAGTGACCTGAAGAAGATGAAGGTGAAAGGATGGAAAGAGAAGATGAGGAATAGAGAGCAGTGGAGACTGGTTGTAGAGGAGGCCAAGGCTCGCTCACACCTATAGCACCAAGTGGTAGGTAGGTAGGTAGGTAGGTAGGTAGAAGGAGAGTAAAGAAAATTCAAATAGTGATGGATTAAGCAGGATGTACACAGGAAGTGAGGAACATAAATGTATCAGAGTAGTAACAGAGGAAAAGGGTAATACCACTGAAGGGCAAAAGGTAAAGGAAAAGGGGCTGACTAGCAAGGAAAAAATGGAAATTTTGAGGGAGATGCATGAGTCCCCCATAGGAGACCATGTTGGCATGAACAGAACATACAAAAGGTTAAGGCATTAAATGTGACATAGAGGAATACATACAAAAGTGTGAGAAATGTCAGAAGAATAAGATGCCATAGTGTGACAGCAGGTTGCCACTAACTATAACCAATATCCGCTCTACCTATTTTAGAAGTGTACAATAGATATTGTGGCACCCATGAATCCTAGCATGATAGGAGATTGTTATATCCTGACTGTACAGGAGGACCACTCTTAAGTTTTTGATAGGAGTACTGCAGACTGAACAGTCAGCAGATGAGGTTGCAAAAGCATCCATAGACAAACCCCGTGGCATGTAGTCCACAAGCGAACTATACTGACCGAGTGACTGCCACTTGTCGGTGAAGTAATCTTAATTTACGGAACACCACGGACCATTCTGTCTGACTGTGGATTGCAATTCTTAAGCAAGACCTTGAAAGGACAGTGTAAATTATTAGGGATAGAAAGAACACAGAGGACTAGCTGCACTCAGAATCCAATGGGTCCAGTGAATGAACACGCACAGGGTTGATAGAATACATCATTAACTGTGTAACGGCTGATTTAAGTAACTGTGATCACTGGGTAAAGTGTGCCACATTTGTCCAGAACAGTACACTGCACTGCCATTTCATTTACTGTTTGGCAGGTTGTCAGATTTAATGGGAGTACTACAGAAAGAACCTGTGAGTGAATACTGAGTTTATGACAGTTACGTAAAGGAATTAGAATTCAGACTAGAAAGTAGCTATGCAGTGGTGCACAATACCTGGAGACCGTTAAATTAGATAACAAAAACAATTATGACCAAGAAGTTTTTGTCCCAAAGTTCGAGATAGGAACCAAGGTGTTAGTGAAGGATGAGAGTGTCTGCTGCAGCCATATCTCAACTTGCAGCAGGCCAGTGATAATGTAGACATGATAGGTAAATAGCTGGGAGTCACTATGATTTTTATGGAAAACACGTCAAAACACTATGGTTAAATTAATCAGAATGTAGAATCACAATTTTTGATGCCCCCAGGCAATTGGAGAAATTGAAGTGCATGAGGAATTTGGCACACCAGTTAACCAGGACAGAAATGAGTTTGTTCAGAAAGAAAAGAGGGCTTTTCGATTTTATCAGGCAGGTTTCATATTCATTATTTAGGATTTTGGATTCTGAGAATGAAGAGTCTTTCAATCAAAAGATTTCACAATTAGAAGGAGAGCAGTCAGACTTGATAAAACTAGGAAAAGAACAGATGGTCATAGTGAAATTAACCTTGAAGTCAGTCAACAAAACATTAAATGATATATCAAAGAAAAAATTGATTTTAGAGAAGAGTTTACAAGACGTTAAGAACTTCGTCAATAAGGAGAATGGGGAAATAAAAATGCATATATGCTTCAATGTTGGTGATGTTGAATGACCATGCTATTCAACTGCTGAGGGCTTTAGGAGGTGAAAGATGAATCATCATCATCAGCAGTAATCTGTCAGACGACAGGTCCAGAGTCTCTTCCAAAACAATTCCTCCCCTTAATGCGATCTAGAGCTTTCTCCTTCAAATGACAGTATCCTCTCCCGTCCCCAAGGTCATCCAGCATCATCTTAGTCTTCTTCCTCGTCCGCTTGTCACTTCTATCTGCCCCTTTATCTTTCCTTCAATAACTTCTTTTAGAAGGCAGTTTCTGTGTAAAACATGACCAATCCAATTAGCCTTCTGTTTTCTTATTTCATGTAGGATATTCCTCTGCTCACTGACCCTAATTAACACTTCTTAATTTCTCACATAATCGGTCCATGATATAATAGTTCAGTCCTGTCTGAGTGCCAAGGGCAGAATTATACTGCCACATGTGTTGTCACCAAGCCACATGGTTCAGATTTTAAAGTACAGTCAGGACTCTTCCAGGTGATTTACAAATCCCTCTCCCACTGAGCAATGCTTATGCATACTTTCTTATTAATTTTCTTAGTGTACATGTGTATATTGTAGGAAGTAACTTAGTGTACATTGTAAGGTATCAGGATTAATAATACTAAGTATACTTTTATTAAACCTGAAAAGGAGTATATTCTGATTGATAGCACGAAGCTGTACTATGTAAAGTTTAGACATGAAGACATTCGCAAATGCAGAAGGATGAGTAATAAGCAAATTATATGTGAACAGGATTTTCCACCATTGTGAAATGTTAATGTTACAGCCAATCACAATAGTCCCCAAAGCATGCGCCCGAAGGATACTAGAATTGAAAGAGACATTATGGATACCCCTGAAGGATAATTCTTGGATTTATGTAGCACCTGCAATGACCCGAATGACTATATTGTGCTGCGACCAGAACCCCACAGATATGGAGATTGAGGGCAATGGTATTTTAACTTTCCTGGCTGACTGCACAGGTTACAGTGACAAAGCAATGATAAGGTCACTCACATCCCAGTACATCAATACATGAATCACACGCAAAAGGATATCATCCCACCCTTACACCTGCCTTTCAATTGTTGTGAGACAAGTGAGAACAGAATTCATTTAGACAAGCTACAGTTAGAAATGCCTCTTAAAAACATACTCACAATGATGAATTACAACTGACTAGCTACAAAGTCAAGGAAGTTCAAAAACTTACTGAAGAGCAGGATTGGAAATTGAGTCATGCAGATAGGGCACACCAACTATTGGCGATGTCCTCTATTAGTGCAGCCACACTGGCATTGTTGATTGGTGCTGCCATTGTTGCAGGAATTGCTGGAAAAGGGGTGTAAAATGGTTCATTGATGGCAAGGGGTACACATTTGTTGTGTTGAAGCCCAGAATTATTAACGGTGTTCATACCACTAGTGATAGCCTGCACAGGCGAGGTGTGAACCCCAGCCTTGACACTAACCTTGGGGATAAAGTGATGTGGAATGCTTTGTTATGGAGCTAACTCCCATGACCTTAAATAGAAGTCCTAGGGCCATGAGATCCAGCAGTTGTGGCCTAGCAGTGGGA